CTCTCTCTCTCTCTCTCTCTCTCTCTCTCTCTCTCTCTCTCTCTCTCCCTACCTCCATCCTGCCCCCTCCATACACAATCATTTAAGAAGTCTCCACTGAAGAATGTCACTGAAGACCATCCTCTGAGTGGCCTGGGTGGTATCAAGGGCCAGAAGGAGGGTTCCATGCTCTCAGGCTGCAGCAGCCTTCCACAGGGAACTTAAGGAAAACCCTGGAAAGGATGTCCAGTGTGACATCCTCTCCCTCCTCCTTAAACACAGAGGAAGTTGCCCCACAGACAGGTGGCCAAAGCTGACTTTCACTAAGCATCAAGAGAAAGCTAGGTCTCTCCAAACGTGTTTTCTGAGCAGAGCACTGCCAGTGCAGCGCCCTCTCCACATCGGGACCTAGGATTGGGAGTACATAAAGCTGAGTGCAGGGAAAGCAGAGGAACTGCTCTGGGTGTCATGGGTCTGATGAAACCCCCAAGAGGCACCTCTGCATGACAGCCAAGCCAAAGTGACAAAAGTGTGCAACAATCCAGGAGAGACAGAGTTGACACTTGTAAAAGGTTATATTTTGAATGGCTATATAAAAACCTACAGTAAGATAGATTTTGCCTCAACCTACAACACCTAAAACATGCTCAAACTGGTCCCTTTTATAAATGTTGCCAACAAGTACCAGCATTGCTGAGCCTGCTAACTCTCCCTCTGAACTCGCTTTATCAAGATTGGAGCTCGCACTGTGGCCCTCAGTCCTAAGTCAAGACACTTCTTGGAAGGACTGTGACAGACATAGGTTAGGGGCTCCCTTTAGACCACTGCTGAAATTCCTCTTTGAGGTCTCTAGAAGGTCCCGGATGACCTAGCCCAAATTCCACCTGACCCTTGACCTTCCATTTGGGAATCCATAGGAGGCACTTGCTCACTCATTGCCTTGTAGAACTTGCTTATTTTACACTAACTGCCCCTTCTCCCTGAGTCTGGAAGCCTTAGGTGTTCGACATTTGTTCCCAGTGTCCTGCAACACACTGGAAGAGAGCAGGCCCACAACAGAAAGAAAAGATCACTTCACCTCCACCCAAGGACCCAACTCCATTGCAAACCAACCTGCCATTTGCAGAGGCTACTCAGAGCAAGGTGTCCTTTCCCCAAAGAAATTCTACTCCACCCACCCCAAACCAGACAGAGTTGCATCAGAGAGAACAATGCAATACAAACTCTGTGAAGAACTCCTCAGGGGCCTGCAGTTTGAACTGTTTGAACCCCACTCAGGGCTCAGCCTCAGCAGGGCTAACCAAGGAGCTGGGGATTTTTAAAGAGAGTCAAGGATTCTTCTCAAACCCACAGCAGGTAAAGAAAAAGAGCATAACAAGCAAAGAAGAAAGGGGGAGATGCCTGCCTTGCTCGGCTCCCAAGGTACAGCAAGGAAAAGGTTTCCTGCTGTGCGAGTCAGGAGGAAACATCTGGAAATGTAAGCATGACTGAAGCCACTTGGTTTCACTTCTTAAAGGTGAAGCATAAGGAAAAACAACAACAGAAAAGAGAGGGGTCTGAGAGGGAAAACTCCTCAGCAGGATCAGTCTAGAAACTGTCTGGACCTCAGGTGGCTTTCACTGGGGCGCAAGGCAAGCCACAGTGGTGAGCTAGGTGACTACAGCGACTTCCAGAATCAGAACAGGGGCAGTGAGCACCCTTTGAATAGCCCCGTGCGAGCCTTCTTAGTGGCCAGTCCCCTGTCATTGCTGTGTGGGATGGGAGGGTGAACACAGAGACTGGGAAGTCTCATTAAATAATCTTGGACTCTTTTGTAGCCCTAAGCTAACATATCACCCTCTACACATGCAAAACCGGCAGTCTTGCATTCTCAGTTTCTCCACTTGGTTCCTAAGCATGTGTGGAACAGTGTACCCATTTCCTGGACACTCTAAAGATGAAGTCCCTTAAAAATGGGCCTATTAATAGCTTATCAAGCCCCTGGATAAATCTAAGTCCTGACGGTAGCTCTGTCTGCCTCACTTAATCCTGCCTATCTGTTTGGCTTTGCAGGGAAGGCAAAGCCCTAGGGGTTACCTCTCAGATCCAATTCCCAGGCCAGTGCCAAGTTGAAAACACTAGCTTTCAAGCTGCAGAGGTCAGAGGTGAATCCGTGGAGTGGGGCTTTGGCAGGTGCCCTGCTTTTCAGCATACTGAAAATTGTAAATCAATAGGGTTGATTTACAATTGCCCATCCTCCCTAAACTTTAGTGTGCATTGAAAACCAGCAGAGCCAGGCTGCCCGGTCCTCCTGTCTCCCCAGTAGATCTCTTATTATAAAGACAGTTCTTTAGTAGAAATGACTGTGGGTATTCAGACACTGGTTTATTTATCCTGTCTTATTTAAATCTACAATCCTTAGACTTAAATTTAGTGACTCATTAATAGGGAGCCACAGCCACAAACCCCAAGGTTGTCTGGAAATAGGAACGACTGGGCCAGTGGTACCTTCCCCGGTGAGGCTGTACAACAACCAGTCTGTATTCAGTAGGGACAGCAACAGCAGGAATCCAGACAGCTCAGGAACTCAGAGAGAAATTGCTGTGGGATTATGCCACAAGCCACCCAGTTGAAAGAAGAACAAAGAGATTCATTCTGAGTTGAAGGATTATGGGAGTGAGCCCACAGTTTGTCCTTTGACTGAAACAATGAAACCTTTCCATTCCCCCCCCACCATGAGGACATGGCTCCTGTAGTGAACGGCCGGCCCCGGCAGTTTCCCTGAGTGACCTTCACCAGACTGTGATCCTCTGAAAGGAAGGACTTGTCTGTGAGCATCAAGCTTGCTTCTTTGAGCTCCCTTGAACAATTAACAAGACAGACTTGAGACTTAAAGGAGACAACCTTGAAAAATTCTGAGCCTGGGATTACAAGTGGACAGCTGCAGGTGGGGGGGCTCATCACCCCTTTCCCTTATCCCCAGTTCTAGAGTCTGTGCTGATTGTAATACCGCACACAGCCTAGACACAAACAATCCACTTGTCATCCTTCTAAGCCAGTGGTTCTCAACCTTCCTAATGCTTTGACCCTTTAATACAGTTCTTCATGTTGTAGTGACCCCCCCACCACCATAGAATTATTTTCTTTCTACTTCACAACTGTAATTTTGCTATGGTTATGAATCATAATGTAAATATCTGATATGCAGGATATCTGGTAAGTGACCCACCCTCCCAAAAGGGAGCGCCTCCTAGAGGTTGAGAACCTCTGTTTAAGCTCAGAGAGATCTATCAAAAAGAGGGGACTGGACTAACCTGTGACCATGGGGATCACAGAGACCAACCCCCAACCAAGGAGCATGCAGACACTGGAATTAAGTGCCCTACACATTTGTAGCAGATGTGCAGCTGGTGAGTCCCCTAACAGTCAAGCAGAGGTTGTCTCTGACTTGGTTGCCTCCCACTGTATCCCTTTCTTCTAGCTGGACTACCTGGTGAGGCCTCAGTGGGAAAGGATGCACATAGTCTTGCTGAGATTTGCTGTCCAGGATGGGGTGGTCCCCTTCTGAGGAGAAGAGGGAATAACGGGAGGAGGAAGGGAAGGGGGCTGTGATCAGAATGTAAAGTGAATGAATGAATGAATGAATGAATGAATGAATGAATGAATGAACAAATAAATAAATGGGGGACAAAAGAGGATATTGGTCTCCTGGAGTTTTCTAGCCCTGTCAGAGCATTTGCACTGATGCTCAAACCAGACAGCAAGTGGCAGACTTCACTCATTAACATGTCACACCCTCAGCAGTAGACAAACTAACACTTGCCTGACAAAGTCATATTTTATTTCCTGGTATCAAAATGAAAGGAATGAACTCTCAAAAGCTTTCTTTCAACATCCTTAAAACACTTCTGTGAAGAAAGCCACAAGATATGTTTAATGCTTCTGTGAAGAAAGTCACAAGATATGTTTAAGGGGAACCCCCCCCAAAAAAAAATCAGATTTTCTGGTCTTCTGGAACATTCTCTACCCTAGACACAAAGCACCAATAGTACATCCCAGAATAATGCAAAGTTTGGGAACATAAACCTGAACAACTTCTTTAGGCTTTCTGTCCCTGAACATCCCAGGAAATGATGACCCCCCCCAACACTTTCATAATTCAAAGTATACCTTAAGAACACACCCAAATATTCTTCGTGCATGCTGCTGTACAAAATGCACTCATCAGCCATAAAAATAATATTTGCCATACACAAATATAATCACATGTAAAGTAAATTTGGAACACAGGGATAGGGAGAGCTATGAACTCTCTTGGGATCTGAGCTATTTAAAGTCAATTTCGTTTGAGTTATCCCTCTGCTGGGTATAGGAAACTGGCTATGAATACATCCATCTTACAGTGACTGCTTGCCACTTCAACGGCTCCTGCGTCATGGAATGTGATGCTTTTTAAAAATAGGTGACCCTTGGCGTTCTGGAAAGAGGAGGAAAAGTGGGGAAGGTAGAGGGCAGGAGGGTGGGAAGGGGAAAGGGGAAAGGCAGGCATTCAGACATCGGTAGGTGACCAGGTGGGCTTAAATACTCTGTGGTGTAAAGCAGATACCCAAGCTCGAGGGGCATCCCTGTTCCCAGATCCACTGTTGCCAGTCTGCCTCGATCTCTCTTTACAAATCTGTTTCCCGGCTAGTGTCCAGACACAGGGCATACAGGGACCTCCGAAGATCCACGTTGCTCTTGGCCTTGAGGTGACACTTTTCTAGAGGACAGCTTCCCCTTCTGATACTGTCAGAACTCTCCAGGGATCCCCCAGTCTTACAGAAGGACGCTTTGCTGCAGCTGACCTTCCGTTGACCCCCTGTGTCCAGCCCAGACTCCCGCCTCTGGTTGCCTTGCTCTTCCTTCAGGGCAGCCTGCTCTTCATGGTCTGTCTCCCGATGATAGAAGTAATTAAAATTGGAGACGATGACAGGCACGGGCAGGGCAATGGTGAGGACCCCAGCTATGGCGCACAGTGAGCCCACAATCTTGCCTCCTACAGTGATGGGCCTCATGTCCCCGTAGCCTACAGTGGTCATAGTGACTACTGCCCACCAGAAGGCGTCTGGGATACTGGAGAAGTGGGACCCATGATTGTCTGCCTCAGCGAAGTAGACAGCGCTGGAGAAGAGGATGACTCCGATGAAGAGGAAGAAGATGAGCAGCCCGAGCTCCCGCATGGATGCTTGCAACGTCTTACCCAGGATCTGCAGCCCCTTAGAGTGGCGGGAGAGCTTGAAGATTCGGAACACCCTGACCAGGCGGATCACCCTGAGGATAGCTAGGGACATGGCCTGCTGTCCATTCTGACCACCTCCTCCTGGTTGTTGTTCTGCCAGCTCGGTGCCCAGGGTGATAAAATAGGGGAAGATGGCTACAATATCAATGATGTTCATAATATTCCGAGAGAATTCTGCCTTGCTGGGGCAGGCAAAGAAGCGCACAAGCAACTCAAAAGTGAACCAGATCACACATGTGGTCTCCACGATGAAGAATGGGTCAGCCAGTGTCCTTGGCAGGAGCGGAGCCACTGTGGGGCCAGAGGAAAGGGCACCAGAGCCGCTGCCATTGGTCCCTGGGGCAGGGGCTGGGGGATGCGGTGCAACTGGGGGGTGGCGTAGCAGCTCCCGTTCATCTCTGAACTCAGGCAGAGTCTCCAAGCAGAATGTGATGATAGAAATGAGAATGACCAAGACCGACACGATGGCGATGGCTCTTGCGGACCCAGAGCTTTCTGGGTATTCGAAGATAAGCCACACCTGGCGCTGGAACTCGTTGCGGGGCAGGGGCTTCTCCTCTTCCTTGATGAAGCCCTCATCCTCCCGGAAGCGCTCCATGGCCTCATCCCCCAGCTGGTAAAAACGGATCTCATCTGCAAACACATCCAAGGAGACGTTGACCGGCCTGCGCAGGCGGCCTCCAGACTGGTAATAGTACAAAATGCCATCGAAGCTGGGCCGGTTGCGGTCGAAGAAGTATTCGTTTCTCAAGGGGTCGAAGTAGCGCAGGCGCTTGGCTGGGTCCCCCAGGAGGGTGTTGGGAAACTGCGCCAGGGTGCCCAGCTGCGTCTCGAAGCGCAAACCCGAGATGTTTATGAGGACCCGCTGGTGATGAAGTGACCCTGAATCCTGAGGAGCCTGGTCCTCCTCCACTGTGCCCAGGCCAGGGTCGCCTTCTCCCTCCTCATCCTCAGCAGATGGCCTTCTAGGCTGTGCCAGCTCCTGAGGCATAGGGGGCAAAGGCCGCCCACCCTGGCCCGCATCCTCGTGCGTGGCGCGCTCCCTGGTTGATGTTTCTTTGGACTGATTACTGAGTCCCCCCGTCGGAGGGCACCCACACTCTCCCCTGGGGGTCTGCACACAGCTTGCCCCTGCCTCCCCTCCTCCTCTGAGGGTCATGGCACTGCCATTCTCCAGGGGCACCAGGGAAATCTCCATGGCCCGGGGGCAGGGGGCATGCTGCGCCCCAAGACAACAGGTTCCCACACCCCCAACTCACGCTCTGGGCCTCGTGTGGGTCTCCTCTCCAGCCGATGGCCCCTGCTGGCTCTAGGCTGGCTGGGGTAGCTGGCCCGATCCCCTTGGCTGGTCCTGACGTCAAGAAGCTGCTGCCCCTGCTCCCTGCCTCTCTCTCTCCCTCTCAGTGTTCTGGCAGCTGGTTACCAGGCAGCGGAAAAACCTCCTTCCAGCAGATGCAACCTCCAGCAGCCCCTCTCTGGCTGAGCTCCCCGGCCTCCGCCCTCTGTGGCTCCCTCCTCTCCTCCTCCTCCCTCCCGTTTCTCCTCTGGGGACGGGAGTCAGAGAGTGTCTCTCTGGAGGGTTCAGCTGGGGCCCCTGCAGCAAGGACAGGAAGGGGAGGAGGGAAAGAGCGCGAAGAGCGAGGAACAGGTTGTACCAGGAGTGCTGAAAACTCCCAGGGCAACAGGATGAGAATAGCGTCAGGATCTCAGATCACCTGGGAATGCACTGAAAGCCAGGGGACGCCAGAGGGTGGGAACTGCTTTAGATGGAAGGAAAAGGCTTTTAACTGAGTTCCAGTATGAGAGATTGAAGAAGAGAGTGCTCTGGATGGTTTTCTTTTAGTGCAGTGCTTCTCAACCTTCCTAATGCTTTGCTGCATGCGACCTTTAATACAGTCGCTCCTGTTGTGGTGACCTCCACAACCATAAAATTATTCTTGTTTCTACTTCATAACTGTGATTTTGCTATTGTTATCGTAACGTAAATGGAATTTGCTACTGAAGTGTAATGTAAATATTTTTGGAAATAGAGGTTTGCCAAAAGGATTGTGAGCCGCAGGTTGAGAACCACTGCTTTAGAGATTAACAGCCTCTCTCTTTGGGAAAAATTAGACTGCAGGGGAGTGGTGAACTCTGTGTGTGTGTGTGTGTGTGTGTGTGTGTGTGTGTGTGTGTGTGTGTGTGT